CCTGGACTTTTGTTTGTTGGTAGATTTTTGATTACTGATTCAATCTCTTTACTAGTAATCAGTTTGTTCAGATTTTCTATTTCATCATGATTCAGTCTTGGTAAGTTGTATGTTTCTAGGAATTTAAGTTATACAACTTTTTGGCATATAATTGTTCATAGTAGTCCCTTATAATTTTTTGTTTTTCTGTGGTATCAGTTACAACATCTCCTCTTTCATATCTGGTTTTATTTATGAGTCCTTTCTTTTTTCTTGGTGATCCTAGGTAAAGGCTTGTCAATTTCGTTACTTTTCAGAAAATAGGCTCTTAGTTTTATTGATCTTCTCTATTGTCTTTTAATGTCTGTTACATTTATTTCTGCTCGAATATTTATCATTTCCTTCCTTTACTAATTTTGAAATTTATTTGTTCTTTTTCTAGTTCTTTGAGGTATAAGTTTAGGTTGCTTATTTTAGACTTTTTTTTTGAGGTAGATATTTATTGCTATGAATTTCCCTCTTAAAACCACTTTTGCTGCAAATTTTGGTGTATTTCCATTTTTGCTTGTTTTGAGCTATTTTTTTTATTTCTTTTTTGATTTCTTCTTTGACCCATTGGTTGCTCAAAAGCATGTGATTTAATCTCTACATATTCATAAATTTTCCAGTTTTTTTATGTAATTAATTTCTAACGTAATAACATTGTGGTTGGAAAAGATGTATGATATGATTCCAGTCCTCTTAAATGTCTTATGACTTGTTTCGTGGCCTAACATATGATCTATCATGGAAAATGTTTCATATGCATGTGAACAGAAGGTGTATACTATTGCTTTTGGATGGAATACTTCTATATATGTTTCTATATATTTAAGTCCATCTGACCTAATGTGTCATATTAGGCCGATGTTATTGATTTTCTGTCTTGATGATCTATTTATTGATATCAGTAGGATATCAAAATCCCCTACTATTGTTGTATTATTGCCTATTTCTTCCTTTAACTCTGTTAATATTTGCTTTATATATTTTGGTGCTCCTATGTTGAGTGCATAAATATTTCCAAATATTCTATTGATGGATTGTCCCCTTTATCATTATGTAATGCTTATCTTTGTTTCTAATTACAGTCTTTGTTTTAAAGTCTGTTTTGTCTGATATAAGTATAGCTACTCCAGCTTTCTTTTGGTTTCCATTTGCATGGAATATCTTTTTCTATCCCTTCACTTTCAGTTTCTTTGTGTTCTTAAATCTAAAATGAGTCTCTTATAGGCAGCATATAGACGGGTCTTGTTCTTTTCCATTCGATCCTTTTATATCTTTTTATTAGAGAATCTTGTCCATTTATATTTAAAGTGATTATTGATTGGTATGCACTTACTGCCATTTTGTTGTTTACTGAGTGTTCTGTAGTCCCTCTCCATTCCTTTCTTCTCCTCTTGCTCTCTTCCTTTGTGGTTTGATGACTTTCTTTAGTTGTACACTTGTATTCCTTTCTCTGTCTTTTGTATATTTACTACAGATTTTTGCTTTGTGGTTACCATGAGGCTTACATATAACAACTTATATCTTTCAAAGTCTATTTTAATTTGACAACAACTTAAGTTTGATTTCCTACTAAAGCTCAATATTTCTACTCTCCCCCATCCCATGTTTTATTTTCGATGTCACATTTTATATCTTTTTATCTTGTGTATCTCTTAACTAATTATTGCAGTCATAGTTATTTTTACTACTTTTATCTCTTAGCCTTCATATTAGCTTTCTAAGTAATTAATCTGTAACTTTTGCTATGTAAATCCAGTGAGATTTATACGTTCATATGTTTTATCATTACTAATTAGTGCCCTTTCTTTTCAGCTTAAAGAAGTCCCTTTAACATTTATTGTAAGGGCCTTTTAGTGGTGATGAGTTCCTTTAGCTTTTGCTTGTCTGGGAAACTGTCTCTCTTTCCATTCTGAATGATACCTTTGTTGGGTAGAATATTCTTGGTTGGAAAGTTTTTTTCTTAGCACTTTGAATATATCACTTCCTTGTGGTCTGTAAAGTTTCTGCTTAAAAATCTGCTGATGGTCTTGTTCCCTTTTGTATAACAGGTTATTTTTCTCTCAGTTTTTAATATTCTCTCCTTGTCTTTAACTTTTGGTATTTTAATTATGATATTTCTTATTATGGGTGTCTTTGGGTTTATCTTACTTGGAACTCTGGGTTTCCTGGATCTGGATCCCAGATTAGGGAATTTTTCAGCCATTATTTCTTCAAACAAGATTTCTGCCCCTTTTTCTCTCTTCTCCTTCTGACACACCTATAATATAAATGTTAGTCCAGTTCATGTTGTCACATAAGCCCCTTTAAGCTATCTTCACTTTTTCCCATTTTTTTTTCTTATGCTCTGATTAGGTGAATTCTACTACCTTATCTTTGAGTTAACTGATTCTTTCTTCTTTTTCAGCTAGTCTGATATTGAACCCTTCTAGTGTATTTTTCAGTTCAGTTATTGTATTCTTCAGCTCTATGACTTCTATTTGGTACTTTCCTATATTTTCCATCTCTGTATTGAAGTTCTTACTGTGTTCATCCATTCTTCTACCCAGTTTGGTGAGCATATTTATGATCATTACTTCGAACTCTTTATCAGCTAGATTACTTACCTCTGTTTTGTTAAGGTTTATTTCTGAGGTTTTTCTTGTTCTTTCATTCGGAACACATTCCTTTGCTTTCTTCATTTTTCTTGTCACTTTAGGAGTGGCTTCGCGTGGAAGATAAACCATGTAATTCAACCTTGCTCCGGCTCTTTGTCATCTATCCAACCTTTATGTTTGTCCAAGTAGCAAATTATATTTTAAATAGTTCCCAGTAGTTGAGGACTTGTCAGTGTCCCTAAGGGGAGGATCTCAGTACCTAATTTCAGACTGTTTGGAAGCCAGGCCCCGAGGGAGCAGCTTTTAAAAGTATGCAAATATATACTGTGGGACTGCAAGCTTAAGCTTTGCTGGCCAGGTGATCTGGCAGTATCCTCTTGTCATCAGTTATAGTAACTTGGGCTCCAGATGAGCATATAAGCTCTTTTCTGGGAGATACTGGAAAGCTGTGGTAAGGTAAGGGAAGAGCACCAAGCTGGCATCCTCAGCCAATGTTCCTTAAGAGCAGCTCCAGAGTCATTGACTCTTGAGAATTTCCCCTCAGTGGAATTTCTTAATTGACCTCCCTTCTTTCTACCTTACAACTACTTATCCAGGTTTAGTCTTATATTATCCATCACCAAAAATGGTACATAACTCAATAACTGGTTTCTTCTCCTCTAGCCTACTCCTTAACCAGTGCCAAGCACCACTTTCCCCCAAATCATTTTCGCATCTGGTTATCAGAAAAGGTAAATGTCACCCTGTCATTCTCTTGCTTGGAAATGTTCAGTGTTGCCTCATTACCTACAGAATGAAGTGCAATCACCTTAGGATTGGCTCTGCTCCTCAGTCTCATTTCTCTCTCTTTACTTTCCTTCTTGCCCATGATACTCTAACAACACTGAACTGATGGGAGTTCCCCAGACCCACTGGGTCTCTTTGCATTTGTATTACTGCTTGAACAGTTTCTTCTATCTTTGACACCCTTCTATTTCCTCTTCCCCTGGCAGGCTCCTCACTTGTCCTCGAGACTTTGCCCTATCACAGTTTGATTCTTTTTCATGATTGCATAATATCCAGTACATGGTCTTTCGTACAGTATTTAACACCCTACTTTAGTATTATGAGTTCATGAAATAGTTCTGTCCACTGGACAAAAGATGCCTAAAGGCAAAGGATGGATCTCATGCATCCTCCCCCCTTCTTAGAGCCCAGTCTGTGCTTTATTTTATTCAAGGAAGAGTTTTATATGTATGTTTCAATGCTTTACAAAGTATATTTATCAGCAAATAGGTTGATTGATTAGCAGTATTATTCTTATTATATTGAGAGCTTCTCAAGGATAGAAAATCTCCTTTTGATGCCATCAGCAGGTGGCCCAGAATCATGTCTGTCTCTCTGTAAGAGATGTGTCTTGCCAGGGCACCCCATGTTTGGCAGGCTCTGAGAGCCATGAGAGTGTTTATTTTTAGTCTGGTTAATGAGCTACTCTTTGGAAATTGACTCTGGCTATGAATATGTTAAGGCTGGAAGAATTGGGCTTCTCGTGAAAATAAAGCAGAGGACTTAAAAAGACTGAGAGTTTTCAATGTTACCTTCCTAAGTATCCTTTTTGGAGCAGTTAGTGTCAGTCAGAGAACTAACTATAACTGCCTCTGTAGTTCGAGGGAGCAGTAGAAAATGAGTTTGACTTTGAAAAAGAAATATGGAGAATTGGTGGCACTGATAATCAATAGAATTGATAATGTAAAATGTATAACTCAAGTAGAATTTATGGAGGCTTAATGATTTTTTAAAAAAGTTTTACGCAGTATTCTAAGCCTTATGAAAGATTTGCCAAGCATGCAAACATGTAGAAGACATGTGCATATCTTGGCATAAAACTGTTCCAGGAAGATGCCATTGACTTGCACGTTGCAGTGAGGTCAGAGTTCCTTTATTGGGATATTTCTCATTCTGGTTATGAACTAGCTGAGAGGCATATATTCATGATCTAATTTAGAAATAGATGACCAGGATGGCAAAAGGAAGAGGTCATGAGTAAAACGGAAATGGAGGCTTTGTCAAAATCTAACTACATTATTATGTGGGGATAGGTGGTATTCTGCCAAAACCACATAAATGAAACTATGATCTAAGTAAAGAACTTTTATATTTGTATAGTAGTAGCAAATAATTTAAAGTTGAACATTATTATAAAAAGATTTTAGAAATCCATTTTTAAAAATTTATTTAGAAATAACTAGTTCAGTTCTTTAATCATGTTGAAAAAAGTTAGGCTTGTAAATTGGCTTTTCAGTCTATTTACAAAAATAGTGTGTGTAATGACAGTTTTCAAAGAGAGGGGGTCATATGGTAAAAGCTCATTGAATATTGACTGTTTTTCTTGATTTGCAGCAATACCGTGAAGAACTGGATGCCAAGTTTAATGCTGATAAATTTAAATGGGACAAAATGTGCCATAGAGAAGCTGCAGTGATGTTGAAAGCATTTTTCAGAGAACTACCCACTTCTCTCTTCCCTGTGGAATATATACCTGCCTTCATTACTCTAATGGAAAGTAGGTGGAAAACATTTAGTATAAACAGACTAAAATATAAGCTCAATAAAGTATCATAGAGTAGAAAAAAGATGCATAATCAAATGTGATCAAAAATGTATGCATTTGCTCTTTCCAGGCAATGCTTGGTGAAATATTGTATTTGATGGTAAACAGTCATCTCTTTATATATTCATGTATCTAAGTCTGATAGATATGATTTAGAGGGTCTTTTAATCCTTAAAAGGCAGAGGGGTTTACAGAAAGAACAGGCTCTCGAGATTTGAATTCCTGTTCAACCATCTGTTAGCCATGCAGTCACCCTTTTTGAGTTTCATTATTGTGCCTATAAATTACAGATAATAGTTGTATGACAGGGTTGTTGTGGGTATTGAAGGAAGGCATCTAGAATGGTGTCTGGTGTGTAGTAAATAGTCCTTCAAAAAACATCAGCCTTCTCTTTTCTTTAAATCTGAGGTCCTGCGCTGATGGTGTAGCATGTAATAAATGTTACTCAGAAGATGTTTTGTCTCTGAAAATTATAATATCACGTAGTATTTCTGAAAATTACAAAGTCACATAGATTAGGCCTTAAGTGACGTACTTTGATAAAAGTATAGTAACTGGAAAGTGTGTTGTATTTTCAATGAGGGAGTAATTTGGCATGGTTTCAGCCTAAGGGTTGAATATTTTGGAGGTTGTGACAAGAGAGAAATTTAGAAAAGTAGAATGGGGCCAGATAGTGAAGACTTTGACTACTAACCTGAGGAATTTGGGGGTCGCAAACCCAAATATGTACAGTAGGTCCTCACTTACTGTCATTGATAGATTTTGTGACTTTAAGCGAAACGATGTGTAGGGCAACCAGTTTTACCATGGGCTAATTGATATAAACAAGAGTTGAGTTCCTCTGGCATCTCATCCATGTTATAAGTTGAATGACACAGTGTTGAATGAGTTGTTATTCGAGGACCTGCTGTGTAAGCATGTTAAATAAATGGTGATTCTACATGGATAGAAAAGGGCTATAGGCAAATTGAGAGGACATATCTCATATAAAGAGGTTGACCACTGCTGACCACTGCTCAACTCTATTGTTCCCTGTCTGACTGCAGCCAGTACAACTTCATTGAAGGCAGAGAATCTGGAAAATATCCTTAAAAGGTTCACAGAGGAGTCCACATTTTTTTGTATGACTTCGAAAGGGAAAAATACTTTATTGTAGTGAATGATTTGAAACCAGCCAACCCTGCAGGAAGCCCAAAGTTCTGGGCTGCTACCAGCAGCGAAAATAGCCTTTTTGCCACCTAGAGTAAGCTCTAGTTGTGATGAGATTTTCTGAAGGAAAGAATTTTAGACATGTGTGTATGTGTGCTTAAACTGCCCTTCTTTATACTCTGAAACAATTTGGAGAATATAGAGTCATTTCCACTAGTGTAATTACTTTCTCTTTTTAAAGTTGGCCCAAAAATTGATCATAAAATTGAAAGACTAATAATTCATCAGTCAAACCTTAGATATTTTCATGAAAAGTTTAGAGAAAATAGTGACCTCAGGTGGAAAAAAAGACTCTTAACTAAGATGCAACAAATGATTTAACTACGAAACGAAGTGAAGGGCCAGGTTTCCTAAATAAAATGAAAATGAAATATTTGCCAGTTTAGATTTTTAATCTTAAAGGGAACTTCATAATTTCTTTGAAATTAATGGAAATACAGAATCTGTGTCTGCATCTGTTGTTTTCCCCACCAGGTTTTTTTGGGGGAAGGAGGGGAAGGGCTTGTTGCATTGGAAGATTATAGACAGTTCGTAGTCTGCAGTTTGCTCATTAAAATAATGCTTTCCCTGTCCCTAAATACTTTGTACTGAGATATGCTTCTGATAGTTCCTATTATTCACGTAAACTCATGTCAACATGTATTAGCTATTTTCAAAAATATTCTGGTCCTGTGTCATTTTTAATTATAAATTTGACATAAATTTCTAGAAATCCACATGGAGATTGTGTTAAGACGATATGATACAATTCTATAAATACTCCTTCCAACTGTTCCTTCATTACATGGTTATTTACATTAGTCATCTACTAACTTGGATGCACACAGCCTCCTGTGACAGAAGTGTGTCCACTACTGTAAAGCTAAGTAACTTTACAGGCAGCTGACTGCCTTTTATCTATTGAATGTAAATAGATTCCTTCAACTTGAAGACTCCCCAGGGATTTTAGAACATAACGCTTCCTACTAGGAACTCCTCACTAAGAGACCATTTTGAGACTACAGAGACAAAGTAAAGTCTGGATGCTGTGGTAAACTCTACATTTTCAGCACAGCTGGTTGCAGATTATCTAGTGGTGGACAGAATTGCTAAAATCTCTTCCCTAAAATGGGGAAAGAGCCAGAATTGAGAGCACAAGTATAAATGCCAACCCTCTGGCGCCATCTTCTGTCATCGTCAAGGAATAAAATCTCAACAATCTGCAAAGAACCAACTATAACCAACCTTCCCTAGAATATGTGAAATTAATCATAACAGGAGCAAACACATATAGAGGTAACTATTTACAAGTACTAAAGTAAACACTACACATACTAACTCATTTATTTATTTATGTTTTAGTGCCAGGCACCCTGTTTACAGAAGCTACCTTATTTAAAGTTTTAAGTTAACATCTTTGCTGATAATAGATATGCCTTAGCAGTTGCTCATGATGGAGGTTTTGTTGGGTTTCCCAGAAGCAGCATCTGAGAGCAAATTAGTATGTGTAGAACATTTATTAGAGTGCACACTTGGATTCCACACTTCTGAAAGGGAAGGGAAAGGAAGCAGAATTGGGCAGAGGATAAGGTTGGGTGGTAATGCCGCCTCAGCCCAAACCTCTTGTAACCCTATGGAGAGCCCTAAAGTTGGAGTGGCCTTTCAGATCATTTCCCATTACAGGGAGAAAGTTGAGCATTTTGACACTGAATCAGTCAGTCACTGGACGTAAACTACACCTGAGAAGATATCATGACCTTAGACAAAACAATTGGAGGAAGAGCTGACAGCTAAGGACTAGGTCCTTCAGTCCTAAAGGGGGAAGCAGGCATCATGTTACAGTTTCCACTACAGTAATGATATGGAAACAAAGAGGTGTTCTAACTTCTTGAGACAGCCAAATATGAAGCAGAAACAAATGAGTTTTTAAACGCAGTCCAACATACAAAGGAAATTTTAGCTGTGCAGTAAAGCCCACTGAACCTAAAAGGGTCACTCTGTCTGTAAACCACTAAGCACAAAAGCACCCTTTATTGATTTCGTTATCTTGGTATTAGAAAAGGGTTTCATCTCTGATTTCATGAATCCATATTTGAATAAGAACTGCTAATCCAAATATAACAATCTGTCCCTACGTGAAAAATTTGTATATCTCGGCACTGCCTCATACACAGCAATGGATTTAGACATTTTTAAGACATTTACTCAGTGGTACTCAGGTGAATGTCCAGCTCTTTGGTGCATTTGCTACGTAAAGTACCTACAATGGCAAAGGAAAATACATCCAAATCTTTCAAAAATATTGGTGGGAAAATTTCCCTTGGGAGACTTAACAGTTGACTAAACTGTATCATTTCTGTAATTATCAGAACCTAGGTAAAACTGTAAAGGTAGGGCATGACTCACAACCCCACAAAAATATAATATGAGCATTTACAAATGGATTTTATATAGTTGTCCAAATCACAAACCTTAAGTAGGTTTTAGTAAATTTTTTTTCATATCCGTTCTCTGTATCTATGAGCTTGGTTTTGTGAAGTTGGGAAGTTTTGGGGGGGGATAATTTTTAGATTAAATTCCACATATAAGAGAGGTCATATAGCATTTGTCTTTCTCTGTATGACTTACTTCGTTTAGTATAAGGCCATCAAGGTCCAGCCATGTTGTTACAAATGCCAAGGTTTCACTTTTTATGACTGAATAATATTCCTTTGTGTGTGTATAGTATGTGTATATATGTGTGTATACGCACACACACACCTCATTTTCTTTCTTTATTCATCCATTGATGGGCACTTAGATTGTTTCCATATATTGGCTTTTGTAAATAATACTGCAGTGAATGTGGGGGTGCATATGTCTTTTCGAGTTAGTTTTTGTTTTCCTCTGGTAAATACCCAGAAGTGGAATTGCTGGTCATATGATGAATTTGTTCTTAATTTTTTGACACAGTTTCATACTGTTTTCCATAGTGGCTGCACCAATTTACACTTCCGTCAACAGTGCACAAAAGTTCCCTTTTCTCTGTGGCCTTGCCAACACTTGCTTTTTCTTGATTTTATGAAAATAGCCATTCTAACAGGTGTGAAGTGATACCTCTCTGGTTTCGATTAGCATTTCCACGGTGGTTTTTGATGTTAAGCATCTTTTCATGTACCTGTTGGCCATCTGCATGTCTTCTTTAGAAGAATGTCTGTTCTGATCTTCTGCCCATTTTTCAATTGTATTGTTTGGAGGTTTTTGCTATTGAGCTATATGAGTTCTTTATGTTTTGAATATTAACCCCTTATCGGATACATAATTTGGAAATATTTCTCGCATTCAGTAGGTTACCTTTTCATTTTGTTGATGGTTTCCTTTCCAGTGCAGATACTTTTCAGTTTGATGTAGTCTTACTTGTTTATTTTTCCTTCGTTGCTTTTACTTTTGGTGTCAGATTTAAAAATTTATTGCCGAGACCTGTGTCAAGGAGCTTAGTGCTTATGTTCTCTTTTAGGAGTTTTATGGTTTGAGGTCTTATGTAGAAGTCTAATCGATTTTGAGTTTTAACTCATTTCGTCTTTATAATAGCCCAGTGAGGTAGGTATGATGGCTACTCCCATGTTATAGATGATAAAATAGAAGTAACGAGGAGTTAAACAGCCTGCCCAACGTCTCTCAGTGACTAAGTAGTAGATGCAGGATTTGAATCTGGTTCTATAGTCTATGCTTCTAATAATTATACTTTGCTGCTGCTTTTAATGGAAGCAAGATTTTATTTTCTCTTGAATTGAGCTTCAGGCCTTCTGTTTATAGCTTGAAAATAAAGCCAGGTCTGTGAAAGTACTTTGAAAAAAGAAATGTTATACAAACCCAGGATTATTTTGAGGATCTTTTTGGCCACGTGCTTCGGCAATGGCATCATGGGATATGAAAGGGGAGTTGACAGAGTGAAGTGTCTGTCCAAGCAAACAAATTTACATTGTTGGGAACAAAAACTAAGTCCTTACCACCGAGAGCTGTCAGGAACCTTCTTTGCCACCAGATGTTAGCAAGAAATGCTGTCAAAATACATCAGTGGTGTTCCAAATGTGTGGTTATTTGTGTTTTCTTGTTAGGAGGGCCTCACATCAAAGTACAGTTTCAAGCTTTACACCTCATGGTCATGGCACTGCCTGATGCCAACAGGGACTCAGCCCAGGTATGTTCTATTGATCTTATCATCTGTCATTAGCTCTATTGGTCAGAGGAAATGGCTCAGGTGAAAAAATGAAAACTGAGATGACAGCTCTCTAAGCCAGCTGAGCGTGCTACGAACCTATTGCCTTTCCACATTCCCACTGCTGTTCCTCTGAGGAAGACAAGAAAGAATGTAAATTTTGGAATATTCCTTGAACATTTCAGTTTAATTCATTCAATCTATTAAGAGATATTGAATGTCTACCACGTGTCAGGTACTAGCCTAGGGATAAGAGTAGGAAAATCGGAGTTAAAAGACTTAAATGAAATAATGTCAGAAGTAAATGAGACTATTATGTAAAAATAAAATATAAATCTCTTATAAAATTTAGTCCTCAGTTGCCCACTTCGGTCTACTGGCAAAAGATCTGATGAGTGTCCTTGGGGAAGAAATTTGAAATCACTGACTTAAATAAAAATTGTAAATGTTCATGCCTTACAATTTACGAGATCACTTTAAAGAATTCTACAATCTCTGAATTTTAGAGATTACCTGATAGAACTCTGCCATTTTACGGATTAGGAAAATGAAGCTCAGAGTGATTTCTCCATTAACATATAGTAGGACATTTGATAGAATCCTATATCTTAGTTCTTCACTCCAAATATCCCTCCCTTTATTTTAAATTTATTTGCCGTATGTTGGTAAAAATTAAAATTTCTCCTGCTATTTTGATAATGCTTCTGTATACTGTAGGAAATTTGTTATATGTACAACAGGTGTTGACAGTCTTTGAAATGAGATAAAGCTGAGTTGGAAAGAGCCAATAATTTTGAGGCCAGTAAACATAATGCTAAAAACAAAATAATTCTTAATGCTACCTCTTATCAGACATTTCATTTTGGTTAGGACTTTTCCTCCTATATATGAAAATGTAACATCTGTGTTAATTATAATATATGTTGATTATATTACATTCTCAACCCAAGGATGTGAATATCTCCTAATACAGTTCAGTAATTTTTCAAAAACTGGAAATTTATTAGCTTTCTTTTAGGCTTTATCTAAACAGTGTTCTTTCATTCAAAAATAAAATGCATCTGGTCTCTGGGTCAAAATGTCATCTACCCTTTCATATAACTGTGAATACAGCAATTATCAAATAATTCAAGATATTTTTATCAGAAGATCATCAAAAAACATTATGAAACAGGTAAAGAAATTCATTCTCTCTTTCCCCCTCTCTTCCCCTCTCTCCCCCTCTCTCTCCCTCTCTCTTCCTCTCTTCCTCTCTTTCTCCCCCTCTCCCCCTCTCCCCTCCCACTCTACATTATGACTGGAACTAAGATTGAAGTTGGTGTGCTATAGAGATCAAGACCTCTGGCTCAAGAATCAGATTTCTTCGGTTCAAATATTCGCTTTCCCACTTAGTGAACTGATGCTGGGCAAAGCTATCAATCCTTCCTCATCTGTAAAACTATATTAATAATAGTGCCTACCTCACAGGATTTGGACTGATGATAAAATGATTAGATACATAAAGTACTAAGAATAATGTCTGGCTCACAATAAACTGTCAAATAAATGTTAACTATTATTACTATTATGTGCTATCCATTTTCTCATTACAAATACTGTAGCAGACTTCAAACTCAGAAAACTAAAAAGCATCTCCTTTTAGGATTTCAGTCTTCATGGTGAATTTCAGAAGATCTGATAAGCATCTATACTTTGGTTGCTCAGCCAAACTTTTATTAAGCTTTCTCAAATCTTTTGTTTTAATGCTGAAAACAGCTGCATGTAGGCATTTTACTTTGGTCTGCCAAAGATTCCAAAATTGAAAAGCAATAGAAAACAACCACCTCAAAATTTAAATTTTTAAATTTTCAATTGTGTTTACATTTGGGCTAAGGAATAACGTATTCATTTTTAACAGGTTTTTCTTTCTTAAGGACACAGTAGTTTTTTTAAAATAATGCTTTAGAGTGTATTTTAGAATTACTTTTCTTCTTAACAAAACTGCATTTCATGTTTTTTTTGAGCTGCAGTGTTTTCCTAGTTTCCTATTTAATTTTAATATCTGTCAAACTTGTTTAGGATAAAAGAAAATAAGAAAATGCAAATTATTACTTATATGGACTCCAGTATAATTAATTCCATAAAAATAAAGCTATTTTGATGAAACAGAATTGAATAAACTCTTCACATTTCTCATTAGCACTTTTAATCAAGTAAAGGGGAAACATGACATTTAACAATTCTATACTTCTGACAATATTCTGACAGTTTTCCAGAGGCACTGTGAATGGGTTTGGAAATAAATGGTAGCAATCAGTGGTGCCTTTTGATAATTTACATTTATATGACAGAATGCTGTTTCTTTTTAGGCCCTCATGACATTCTTCAATAAAGTGATTGCCAACGAATCAAAAAACCGAATGAGTATATGGAATATTTCTACTGTAATGGCACCAAACCTTTTTTTCAGTAGAAGCAAACATTCTGATCCTGAAGAATTACTGTTAGCAAGCACTGCAGCTCATATCATCCGCCTAATGCTTAAGTACCAAAAAATTTTATGGAAGGTGAGTAACAGTGTGATGACTGGGACGTAGTCCTTGGAAGTCAGCCAGCACCCAGGGAACATATAGGCTCCATGAGCAGGCAGTGCCCTTAGTTACAGGGAGAAAATACAAGGATATAATCCCAGGTTGCCTGTGGCAACTTTACACATTCTTTAAGGGCTGCTCCTGAACACATTCTCTCTTTTAAACAGAATCCTATTAGATTTTCCTAATCTTTACAAGGATAGATGCCACAGTTCCTGGTTCCAGGATTCTGAGTGGCCAGAAGGAGTTACCATAACCAAAGACAATCTACTGGGGAGGTTTAATTCGAGTGTTTTCCTTCTAGTCAAGCTATTTTTCTTTTCCAGATTCCATCTTTCTTAATCACTCAAGTCAGAAGAATGAATGAAGCTACGATGTTGTTAAAGAAGCAGCTCCCAAGCGTCAAAAAGTTGCTAAGGAGGAAGACCATAGAACGAGAGGTGATAACAAATGAGGGTGCAAATATTGTTACTGCTCAGATTTTTATTTCTCAAAGTAAGGCACAAAGTAGCTTGCAATTTAGAACCAAAATTTTATATTCTTACAAAGTATCAGTCTTGTGGCTATAAACATTGTGGAAATTGTGTCCATGGCAGAGTACTGTGATCCTCCTATTTTATTGAACTCCGTATTTTTTGGTTGACGTTTTTGAAATAACTCTATCATGAAGATTATTTAATATTCTATTCTGTTAAGTACTTAAGGCTAAAATGGTTCTCACAAAAGTTGAAAGTTGACATTTTTGTTCCTGTGCACTAAATTTAATATTTCAGTATTCATTATATCCAATAAGTAGAAAAAGAGATTTCTCTAGTGACTAGATTTTGAAAGAATATCTTCTCCTCAAGTTGTTTTGTGTAAATTCATTAAATTCTGAAGAATTTTTGCATTAGTACAGTTGTTTGTGTGAAGGTACATAATGGAAACAGGTTTTGGAAGCATTATCTTTATTGCTTTAATTTAATTTAAGAATGATCAATGAGTGTCAGGCATGGCATTCAACCTTGAGGAGGATACAGCGATACGTGAAATTCACTTTGCCCTTAAAAGTATTTATACCAAATATGGGAGAGAGATGTGCACAAGAGTAATGAATATGCATTAAGTACCAGATTAGCTGTATAGACAATGTGCCAGGACCATGCAGAGGAGACAGAAATGTCCTTCAACATGGGAAATTATGGACTTCATGGAGGAAGTGGCATGTGAGCTGCATTTTGAAGGATGGATAGAATTTTGAAGGAAGAAAGAATAGGAAAGTTCATCCAGGGAAAGGAACAGTAAACGCCAAGGTGATGAGGTAGGAGTGTTGCTAATTGATTTATCACAACCGTGATGAATAGCTATATTCCATTATTGGTTATAGGCAAAATGACTTCATGACATTTATTTGGGGGGGAAAAAAATTAATTTGTTTTGAGAATAATTTACATGATAGAAAATTCACTGTTTTAACTGTTTAAAAATGTACAATTCATGGGTTTTAGTACATCCACGATGTTCTGCAACCATTATCACTACCTAATTCCAGAATATTTTCACTATCCCAAAATGAAACCCTGTACCAATTAAGCACTCACTCCTCATTACCCACTCCTCACAGCACTTCAAATACATTAATTTACTTTTTACCTCTATGAATTTACCTATTCTTGACATTTCACATAAATTGAATAATATAATAGGTGGTCTTTTGCATCTGACATCTTTCACTTAGCATAATGTTTTCAAGGTTCTTCTCTGTTGTAGCATGTATTATTACTTCATTTCTTCCCTTTTCATTTTATTATGTATCCTTCTTTTTAATAAATAACTATATTGAAATATAATCCACGTATACAATCCATCCATTTAAAATGTACAATGCAGTGGTTTTTATTATATTCACAAGTATGTGCAGCTAGTAACATAATCAATTCCAGAATATTTTCATCACCTCAGAAGAAAAACCTGTACACTTTGGCTGTCATCACCATAACCCTGCCTACCCCATTTTCACTCACCAGTCCTAAGTAATAGCTAATCTGCTTTATGTCTCTATAGAGTTCTCAATTCTAGATTTTCAGTTAATGAAAATTATATAATATGTGGTTTTTTTGTGACTGGCTTATTTCATTTAGTGTTATGTTTTTGTGGTTTATCCAACTTATAGTATGTATCAGTACTTCTTTGTTTCTTATGACTGAATAATGATCCATTATATGGATAAACCACATATTGTTTATCCATTCATCCATTGATGGACATTTGATTTGGCTATAACTTTTAACTACTATGAATAATGCTGTTATAAAGATTTATATACAAGTTTTTGTGTGAATATATGTTTCCAAGTCTTTTGGGTATATGCTGGGTCATATGGCAACTCTATTTTGAGGAATTGCCACTGTTTTCAAAAGCAGCTACACAATTTTACATTTCCACCAGCAGTGTATGAGGATTCAGAGATTTCTTCATATCCTCACTAACACTTGTTATTACCAGAATTTTTTATTCTAGCCTCCTGGTTGATATGAAGTGGTATCTCTCTGTGGTTTTGATTTGTATTTCCCTGAGGACTAATGATATTTAGCATCTTTTCATGTGCTTGTTGTCCATTTGTATATCTTTCTTGGAGAAATGTCTGTCTAGATCCTTTCCCATTTTTGTTTGGGTTATTTGCCTTTTTATTTTATATTGTAAAACTTCATATATTCTAGATACAATTATCTTATGAGATATATAATTTGAAAATATTTTTCTCCATTCTATGGTTTGTCTATTCAATTTGTTTTTGTCCTTCGATCCACAAAGGTTTTTAATTATGATGAAGTCTGTTTCTTCTGCTGATCATGCTTTTATCGTCATATCTAAGAATCCTTTGTCAAACCCAAGATCATAAAGATTTAACTCTGTTTTCTTTTAAGAATTTTATAGTTTTAGTTTTTATATTTGTGTCTTTGTTCAATTTTGAGTTATTTTTGGTGTGCGATATGAAGTAGGGGTACAAATTCATTCTTTTGCATGTGGTATCCTGTTACCCCAGAACCATTTGTTGAAAAGTCTATTCTTTCCCATTGAATGGACTCAGCATCTTTGTCAAAAATCAATTGACTGTACGAGTTTATTTCTATACTTTTAATTCTGTTCTAATGATCAGTATTCTGTTCTAATGATCAGTCTATTCTTAATGTCAGTACCACACTGTTGTGACTATTGCAGCTTCATTATAAGTTTTGAAATTGAAAAATGTGAATACTCTAACTTTTAATTTTTCAAATAACTTTGATTATTTTAGATTCCATGCATTTTCATATGAATTTTAGGATCAATTTTTCCATTTCTGCTAAAAAAAAAAAAAGAAACTGGAACTCAAAAAA